TCTTGGCAGCAGACAGAGCTGACACGAGCAGACCTGCCTCCGCTGAACTGGTTGCCACATCTACTGTCAGCGCTGAGTCAGCGCTTACGGCTCTCCAGGTGCTCCAGCAGCAGCTGGACTATTTCCATGCCTAGTTACTGCCCTCAATAAATGAAACTGCCCCTGGGGGAGTGTTTACCCGGGGAGAGCTTTCTGCAGTCAGAGGAAAGAGTTTAAACATCGAGAGGGCAGTGAAAGGCATGTTGGTTTTCTTCCCAGGGGAGTTTTGCGTGGCACTCCTGAGGAAACCGCAGCAGCTCAGGAGCTGCTCTGTGAGCTGTCAGCTGCAGCAGGTCCCAGGAAGGAGTTCACTCGATGAGGAACAGGTGATGGGGAGACACCTCACAACTCAGAGTGTCCCCCGAAGAAGCAAACCCAACAGGGGTCAGGGTGAGCTTCAGATGTGCTCATCCTCCGTGCAGAGCTGAATCACAGCCACTCGGTAACTCCAAGTCCTGTGTGTCCATCGTGAAGCAGCAAGAAGGAGAAAACACAGGGTTTTTTGTTTTCCCCTTTGTGGCACTTTTTTCTTTTTAAATGATTACCACAAAAGCCAGCTGAAGACCTTAGGAGCAGCTGCACTATCAGAAATTATTTTTACCTCATTAAAAAAATTCAGCCTTTTAAAATGAGAGCCGCAGAATGGAGATTAGAATTTCTAGTGCTTCGCCGGGTGTTACTTAGTACCTGTGGATCATTACATTGATAAAAATATGTACAGACTCACTTTTCAGGTTTAAAAGTGTTTTGTCCTTTTGTTTGCTTAGCTAAATAAAGAGGTTTTGTTTGACCTGTGATTTTGAATCCAGCTGGCTTTTTAATATATGGTGACTCACACAAAGCAGCCTGCAGAGTTGATCTCGTTTCCACTGTTACACCGTTGATTTCAGCAGAAGCCCCACAGAAAATCAAGCTGCGTGGGGGGCTTTTGGCCCTGACCAAGCCTTCCTCACCAGAGCTGTGCTCTTCTTTCTGTAATTTCTCCCACTGAAATGAGGGAGCTAATCACAGAGAGGGGTACTTCACACAAACCAAATTGCCTGGATCTGGCCCTTTGAGGCACTGCAAGTCCCAAAAGATTTTCAAGGTTAGTAATAAACCATTAGTTTCTAATGAAAATTGGAGCTGAAGCCAAGGACTTCCTGCCTCAAAATGGTAATTTTTTATAATGAGATACTGTCATTATCTTGGCTGATGTGCAATAGAGCATCACTGGTTTTAGTGGGAGCAGCCTGGGAGCTCTTTAGAATGACATTATTTTACCTGCTTCAGAATAAGCCAAAGAATTTTTAAGGGTGGTAAAGCAGGAAATCTCATTTCCATTTTCAGCAAAGGCTATATATAACATATCATTACCAAACATTGGGCCTGATCCTTGCACTTAACTCAGTGTGTGTTTTCTCCCCTCACAGACCGCACCATTAACATGAAAGGGTAAAAACCATTGATCAATGGGGCCACAGAGACAAGGAAAGATCCGCGCTCACCAGTGGTGGTGGCAATTTCTGTTGCAGTTCTGCAGTCTCTATGTGGGCAAAGTTGACTTTTGAAAATACAAGATCAGACACAGCACCTGGCTGTCCCCCTAGCTGGCTCCCCACTGGGGCTCCGTGGGGGTCATGGTCACTGGCTCAGGGTATTTTTATCTTCCACAGATCATTTCATGGCCAAGGCAAAAGTGCCATCATCTGACAACAAGAAGAGTTTGTGGGTCCGGGTGCTGCAAATGTATCACCATTTTCCCAAAGAAATATCTGCTGTTTTGATAAAAAACTCAGCGAGGAAAATATAGCCATCATGTTATACACAATTCCTGGACTTCCTCTGTCAGGAACTGAAGCTCTTCTTTTTCTCAAGTGAGACATTATTTGGGGAGACAAGAGATTATGTAGCCTGCTGTGTGTTATTCTGCTCAGGTATCCCTGCAGATCAGTGACTTGCTTTGAAAACGAAAGGACATATTTTATTGCAAGTGGGTTGACGTCAGTTCCACTCTCAGCGTTGTCCAAAAACCATCGATACTCTCTCCTCTCCTGCCTTAGTCTTTCCCACAAATTCTAAGTCAGCAAAAGCTTTCTGAATGTGGCATATAGAAAAAAAAGACCCACATCTGTATCGTTCCAACAAAATGAATGGCTAAAATCACTGTAACCCAAATTTGTTTCTTAGAAGAGGGGAAAAATGCTGGGGGAGATACATTAAAAGTGTTGCACTTTCAATAGGAGGGATCCAGCTTTATTTTGTAGATACAGTAAATCACTGGGGAAAGTGCCCAGCTGAAAATGCAGTCATATAGTTAAAAAAATGGAACAAAGCAAGTAACATGTTGGGATAAACACGGAAACTAACTCACCTAAATCCCTTTCACTCCTGGATTAAGTGGTTTATTACTAAAGTAGGATTCTATCCATCTAAGTTTTCTCTATCTAATTTTTATACAGGTTGTCACTGCTTAATGAATTTATGGTGAAAATCCCTGATGCCCAGTTCCTGGCAGAGTTAATGGAGAGAGGTGGGCATTGGTGATGGTCCCTGGCAGATTCTGTCTCTGTAACTTCAGGGTCTAAAAGTAGACACAAGAAAATGTCCCTAGTGGCTTTTAGAGCCAAAACTGGCTTTCAGAGCTTGCACAAGGCTCTCAGGAACCTGCTCAGTTCCTGCTCAGCATCTCAGACCCAGGTGCAAATTCAGTGCTGGGGGGTGAGGACCCACATCTTGACGTGGAGCGCTGCCTGCCAGAAACACTAAGGGAACCAACGGCAACCCTGTCCACTGGTGTGACTGCTGTTCACTCAGGAATTACAAAGATTTATGAGATAAAGCCTAGCAGATGGAAAGTTCTCTAGTTTTACCAGAAAGTTTTACCAGATTTCACTGATCTGAGGCACTCACTGGTCTTTTATTCTCAGCAATCACTACTGTGGGTGATGCAGCACCTTTGGCTGAGTCTGTGCAGGTTACTAGAGCAGGGCCAGGATGCTCCAGCCAGAAGTTTGGCCCCTGGCTTTGCAGGAGGAGAGGAATTTAGGCATGCTCTCTGCCACCCTGGATGCTTAGACATAATATATGAGATGAAATATATGAGATGGGCTTGTGCTATTTCAGACAGTTTAGAAGAGGGAAAAATCCCCAAACTTTCTCACTAGTAACTTTAGAGTACTTAATCCGAGCAATATTATGACTTATCGTAAATTCTAGTTTAAATCATATTTCTAACTTCATTACAAGAGTGCCCTGGTGCATACCTGCATGCCTGAAGGTATTAATCAATTGCAATGTCATGTTTGTGATTATTAGAACTGATAAAAAATAATGGAGCTACCAGAGTCTGGAATACAGTTTGCTGATCAGATCACACTTAAAATGAAATATCTTTGTATTATCAGTGAAATGATACTGCTTTTCATAATACTTGCACTTGCATAAATACAGCATCACTGACTCACAGCCTCACTGAGGTTTGTTGGATCCTTGTGGCCCCAGCTGCTCCAGCAGGCAAATGCCTGATGCGTTGCCCAATCATAAACTGGGAAACACATTAGTCCAAACTTTTTATATGGTACTATGCACATAAAAGTCATCTGTTTCAGCCCTTCAATGCAAAATCAAAGGATAGTGATAAACTACAACATAACCAGGATGTAAATACAGCGTAACTATAAATAAATAAGCAGCAACGCTGCTTCTGAAATCTGCCACGCGTCTCATTGCTCTAAATAAATCAGTCGCCGGTGAATTTGAACCCGCATGAAGAAGTGTATCTGAACAACATTGACCTCTGATGGGCTCTTTGAAGCCACTAAGCCATGGGATTATCAGAAAACTGTACACTGCCCCGAGACAGGCAGACAGCAAAGGTGCACTTAAATGATTTTTCTACAGCACGTAGTCCAAAAAAAGGAGGGGGAGAAACAATTCAGATTCCTCTCAGAACTGCAGATGATGAAGAAAGTCGATTTATTGTGGCATTTTACAGGCTTTTAGGAAATAAGACTGTGACTTTTTTCTTTTTTTCCTCTTTTGCCCTCCAGTGTTAGACTAAAGCAGGAAAAAAGGAGCCCAGCTTAGAGTTCGATTTCCCCCCACAGTTTGATAACTTTTTAATGGAGCATTATCATAAAGGGCTAACGTGTAACTTGAAGATGAAAGCTACTGGAAACCTGGTGAACAACTGTAATTATCAGTCTATTTGACTGGGCTTTTTGTTTCTTTGGTTGCTGGAGAATGAAAAGGAGTTTGTGCTCTTTGTTACTCTCTCTTTGCCAGACCAAAGAAGAGACCAAACAGACAAGCAAGTGGGAAGGTGCCTTTCTTGGTGCAGTATTTAATCTCCAAGGTGAATGATGATCTCGTTAGGCAGAATTATACGGGGAGCTTTCAAAAGTAAACAAAGGGACTTTGCTCAACTGGCTAATTTGCCAGCTCTCTCATTTCTAAAAGCACCTAAACACAGAAACTTATAATATATCTTAAATGTTTTTATTTGTATACAAAATGTTATAATTTATCAATATTGTGCAGCAAAGTATAGATACACACGTACATACATACATACACACATACAGCCCCCCCCTCCAACACACACACACGTACAAATACAACACAAACACAACTTTCTTCCTCTCTGCCCTTTAGAAAGGCAACACTGTTTTGGCAGGTCAGCAGCTAGAAATAAGGTGCTATAATTAAGCAGTATCGGAATGTCTTCACTTCACAAATGTGATGTGCAAATTTATATATACAACCACTTTTTTTTCTTTTTTTTTCTTTTTTTTTTACCCCCCAAGGAACCCAAAACTCCATACCCTGAACCACTCTCAGAGATACAAACATGTATAAAGTGCTAATACTTAAGCATGTTTCCAACGACTTCACGACGTAGTTTGAAGTTTAGACCAGGCACTGTAATAGTTCACTGGGTGGATTGTCACTGGGTGCGGCACGACAGAGAGAAAAGTCACTCAGACATCGCTGGGGGACCGGGAGCGAAAGGACACTTTAGCCTGAAAGCAGCCGCAGAAGAGCACCCACATGGACCTCTGGATCTCCTGGTTTCTGTAGGCGTAAATGATGGGGTTGATCATGGAGTTGTAGGTAGCGGGTAGAAGCGTGGCATAGGTGTACACGGAGGGGTAGTCGGGATCCCCCACTACACAGTAGATGGCGAAAGGCAGCCAGCTGGCCCCGAAAGTCCCGAGGATGATGGCGAGGGTAGAGACTCCCTTTTTGGTGGCCACATAGTGGGAAGCAGTCAGAAAGTGCTGCTGGAGAGCTATCTGGTGGGCATGCCTGCAAACGATCTTGCAGATCTCGATGTAGAGATGGAGCATGATGAGGAAAATGAGAAAGAAAGAGGCGGACAGCAGCGTCACGTTGCTCTTGGTCAAGGGTCTGACAACGCTGCAGGCGGCGCGGTCGTGGAGGCAGTTCCAGCCCAGGACGGGCAGCAGCCCCAGGCAGAGGGATGGAGAGCTATCTGGTGGGCATGCCTGCAAACGATCTTGCAGATCTCGATGTAGAGATGGAGCATGATGAGGAAAATGAGAAAGAAAGAGGCGGACAGCAGCGTCACGTTGCTCTTGGTCAAGGGTCTGACAACGCTGCAGGCGGCGCGGTCGTGGAGGCAGTTCCAGCCCAGGACGGGCAGCAGCCCCAGGCAGAGGGAGCACTGTCCGCTCCGAGTAGTAGGTGAGGGCGTTGTAGAGGGAGAGGTAGCGATCGACCGTGATGGCCAGCAAGCTACTCACGGAGGCGGCGAAGGAGGCGACGAGGAAGCCCACCGTCAGCAGGCTGACCGTCTCGGAGCGGATCACGTACTGGAAAATGAAGTTGAGGATGAGGCCGAGGCCGGCCAGGAGGTCGGC